CTCACCGAGCCGTCTATATCCTCATCGAGCGAAGTTTCTCGCTCGAAAGTCGCATTCGAAATTACTTCCGTATTAGTTTAATATTTCCACAGTAATTAATACTGTCACGATAAATTCCTTAATTAATTTATTACTCCGAATTAGCGTAATTTCATAATATCGTCCGCGCGATGGAGAATTTTTTCACCCGAGCGAAGAAGCTAATAATAGAAGTGTGATTCGGCGATTTTTAACCCGTGGTAATAATTGAGAATATCGTCTATCCAGCGGTCCGTCTGACGTCAGCGATGAACTAGTAATATAGAAGTACGTTGCAAGATTTATAATCGCGGTAATAATTGATCTCGCCATCGCGAACCGTCCGGAGCAACCTTGTGTATAAAGTTCCACGAGACTCGAGGTATTATAGAAGACTGCGTGCTCTCGAAGGAACGAGGCGGGGCGGGAGGGGGGGGGGTGGCCGGCAGTCTATCTGCGAGGCGTTTAAGCAAAAGTTGTGAATCTGAATTTTAAAACAGGAGAGAGACAGCGCTGCGCTCTCTCCCCGACCTCGCCCGGGCAAGGGTTTCAGAGTAGATTGAAAGATAACTCTGTGCTTTTCTATTTCTCCTTGCCTCGCTCGGGAAGCCTTTACGGCCGCCGACATCCCGCTCCTCGGTGTCGCGCCTCTCGCCCTATCCGGCCCCGTGTCTTTTTATCCCGCCCGACCTTCCGTCGTCGCGGGATATTTTACGAGGCGGCTTCGGCTCGCGCGCCGTAAAATCTCGGAATTTAGGAGAGGCTCTGCCGGCAAGGACGCGACCCACCGCGCTCGGGGCTCGTCGGCATACATACATCTTTCGCGAAACACAAAATCATCAGCGGCACGCTCGCCCGTCCGCTCCGCCTTCGTTCGGAAGCGAAGGAGCGCGCGCGATCGCCCGATAGAACTGGGTCGAAGCCGCGCGCGCGTCTCGATCCCGCCCGCCCCGGCACGTAATTCGAAATCCACCGGGGAATCGCTGATGCGCGCATTCCGCGGTTCATCAACTATAACCTGATATTATCCGGAACCGCAGGATTTAATGGACCGTCGAGTGAGATAAACGCGCTACAAGAGTATCGCGATTAAACTCCTATTGCTGTTCGGCGCCGCCCGTCCGCGCGCGAGAAGGAAGCTTTCCCTGCTCGCGCGCGGATTTACGCTCTTTCCGCATGGCGCGCGCCGTAGGTCGGCGCGATAAATTCTCGTTTCTGCCGACGACGCGACACGAGTCTCCAGTTCTCCAAGCAGACCAAGGAACAAAAGCGAGAGCAAACGATAGCGCGATTCCAAACGCGCAACGCTGGACTATTATACTTTTCCGCTGACGCTATCCATTCCTGCTCCTTCTCCCCCCCCCCTCCC